TGCCGGTCACAGGTCCTGGCGAAACGTTAGGAAACAAAACTTCCAGAACACGGCCACACACCCCGGAAGACCCACACCAGCCATCGTATGCCGGCCATGAAAGCCTTCGACAATACATAAAGCAGGAAAATTTTGACTTTTTTACCGCCGCCAGAAATTTAAATACACAGATCCATTTCTCTGGGTAGAATAAACAGAACAATTTGCTCTGATGTAAAGTCTAAGTCCCAGAAAATTTGTATTCAAAGATGAAATCCTTTTTAGAGTGTGTGTGTTACACTGGGAACTATTTGCCAAAAATATAGAAAGCCTAAACTATAATTTTTATATCTGTTCTCTCACATAAGAGGAGAACCCATATTATACATTTTTTTTTCTTCCTAGCATTTTTCTTGCATGTGCACGGTCCACTTTTTTTGGATCAACTGAATGTTGATCTGTTGGTTGCAACAGGAACTGACCGACCGGCTTGTCGCCCAAGCCTGATGTCAGGGGCTGAGAGAGAGTGACTAGCCCGAGGTCACCCAGCCATATTATACTATATTAATGAAAAAAAGCCATGTCAATATTAAAAAAAATAGTAAGGAACTATGGAAAGTTTTTCTCAGGAGATTGCAAGTTTGTCTGAGCTGGGAAGTTAAGAAGAGTGTGGCCTGGATAGTACTTGAATAGAATTCCCTGGGATATAAGCAAATTGGAGAATTTTTTATAAAAAGGAGGCAATACTGGTAGTCCTCAACCTACGACCATTCGTTCAGTAACCATTCAAAGTTATGACAGTACTGAACAAATGATGGTTATGACTGGTCTTCGGAGTTCCGGCTATTCCAGCAATGCACCCCCGCAGTTATGTAATCTGGGCACCTGGCAACCTGTTTGCACTTACGACCGGTTACCAAACACCCTGCGATCACGTGATCACCATTTGCAACCTTCCTTGACAGCTTCCCCAGAAAGTCAATGGGGAACCCAGCAGGGAAGGTTGCAAGTTGCTGGGGTAAGTCTCCCCTTTCCGTGCACCCTCCCCAGCACCTCTGTGCTTGCATTGGCCACTCACGCACCCCCACTGACCCTCCTTGTGCCTCCCTCACACCCTCACACAACCCCTTGCACCCCCTTCAAGCCATGCAGTGCCTCTTGCACACTCCCTCATGGACCCTCTATGAACCTTGCGGTGCCTCTTGCGCACCCCCTCGCACCCTCCCCAACCTACATGGGGCCTCTCATGTATCCTTCGTGACCCATGTGGTACCTCTCATGCACCCCCTTGTACCCTCCCCAACCATCTCCCACACCCCCTCCCTCCA